TGTATTTTAACTTAGTAGGTTTCTTGGTGACCTCAGCTTTCTGATGGGCTAAACCATCATTTTGTTGTTGTTATTTCAAATTTTTGTTTAAATTTTAGTTAACATATAGCATAATATTGATTTTGGGAGTAGAATTTAGTGATTCATCACTTACATATAACACCCAGTACTCATCATAACAAGTGCCCTCCTTAATACCCATCAGCCATTTAGCCATCCCCCCCCAACCTCCCTCCATCAACCCTAAGTTTGCTCTCTGTAGTTAAGAGTCTCTTATGGTTTGTTTCCCCCCCTCTCTTTTTTTCCTTTCCCATCATTTTTTTTAAACCTATGATTTTGTAGGGTATTTGGCTTTTGTTGATGTTATTGATCTTAAGGGTAAGAGAGATAGTTCCCCATGACTTTATGTCCTAATCAGGAATGGAAGATCTTGGTGTCTCCTGAGTCCCAGTCTTAATTGATGCTGAGGTCCAGGGACATTGCCACCCCGTCATCCTGCCATCCTTCCCTTTTGCTTAAGCTGAGGAGGGTCTGGTTGACCTCCTCCCCACGAGCCTGACTGATAGCAGTGGGAAAGGCACTGTGGAACGTTGTGCAGGAGTGGCATGACCCTCTACCAGAAACGCCTCTGCTTCTCTTCTTGCAAAGCAGGGAATTTAAATTCTGCTCACAAATCTCTCAGGAGATTCTTCTGGAATAATGGATGTGAATGAGCTCTATAACATGTACAGTCCACAGACATATATTACTGCTAATGATAAAGTGCTTTTTTCCTGCAGCTTCAATAACTGTGGAGCCTTGGTCTTCTCTCCATTGGTACTTCCATGTTTTGGTTCAGGGCCATCACTTGAAGTTTAGTATCTATTGATGTCCCAGATGAGCACTTTAGGCATCTGTGCTATTCTTATTACGATGTGGCCTATGGATTCCTGCTACCAACCCTTACCAGCTATGTGGTGTTAGAGAAATAGTACAACATCCAAAAGCCCCAGCTTCTTTATTTGTAAGCTGGAGATAAAAATAGCATATAATCCCAGAGTAATAGTAAGAATTAAATACTATGTTTGTGATGTGTATTTGTCACACCAGAAGTGACCTGCCAAGGCCATGTTGTTGGTTTGTATCAGGACTAGACTGGAACCCGCATCTGGGATGCCTTCGGCATTGTTTGAAATCACCGAGTTCTGTGGTCTCTGAGTAGCTTCCCTGGGCTCTCTGCCTCACCTTTGCCTCGTATTCCAAAAGACCATGCTTTTAAGGTCTCTCTCCTGCCCCCAAACCTTTGCTTGTTCTTCAATGCTAGGAGCTCTCTCTAGATTAATTATCTTAGCATTCAAGTCTCCTGACAGTCCTGCACAAAACTTACCTGTCTGTCAAGTACACCTAATTGTTATGTTTAGCCCATGCATGCTCTGGCTGTGCCTTGAACAGTGGGCAAGCTAAGGACAGGCAAAGACAGAGAGGGCTGTTGCAGGTTGTGTGGGAGAGAACATTTCTAGGGGGAACATAATGGGAGCAGAGGCCAGGGGACAGGTAAGCAAGGTTGCATGTGTGTGAAGCGGGAGCAGGCTACTGGGCTGCATGAAAGATGTGTATTGTAGAAGGTGAGGCTAGAGTATCATCCACAGCTGGACTGTTGGGACCATAAGTGTAGGTCTAGGATACCTGGCTCTTATTCAGTAGGTGAAGAAGAATCTACCAAAGTGGTTTGAAAGGAAAAGACATGGGCATCTGCATTCCCTGCTGGGCATCTTTCTCCTGGTTTTGCTCCAACCATCTCAGAGGTCATTCAGAGTAGATTCTAGATGTTCCCCTCCCTCTTCATGCCCCTCGTGGGCTCTGCAAGACCCAGCCTCACCTACCATCAGGAAGGTAATGTCTGCACACTCACACTGCTGAGACTGAAGACCCAAGAAAGGCACAGACTATGACCACAAGGTCTCAGCTTCTCCTGCTTGTCCACATAGATCTCTCTATGGTTTAGTTTCCTCAACTGTGAATTTGGGTTAATAGCACCTACTTTGGTGGGGTCCTATGTGGATTAAATGAGATAATGTAAGAAAAGTGCATAGCACCGGGTCTGGCATGAAGCCAGCCTCCAGGAGAACCTTCTGCTCTGGGCTTCCCTTGGCCAGTCTTCCCTCTAGTATGTCCCACTCACAGACAGTGTGGTCTGAGGACACAAAGCAGCTATTCTCCCCTTGTTCAGTATTTGGGCATCGCCTGAGAGGTAAGCCGCCCAATTTCTGCCTTCAGGAAATCACAGGCAACCCATGAGCAGAACTGAGATGACTGGCAGTCCAGGTTTCTAGCTCATTCAGGAGCATGTAGAAGGATAGTTCCTTCCTTCCTCTGTGGCCCCAGTGGGTTTGCTAGGATAGCAGGGTGACGCAGAGGAAGACAGTCTGCATCTAGTGACATCTTGTGACAGCTCTGTGAGTCGCCGCTGGGGAACTTGGGCAGATTTCTCCACTCCTCTGATCCTATTCCTTCACTGAAGTTGGGCTGATGGGAGGGGTCAGTGAGAGAATACAGGAAAAGTGCTGCATATTGGCCAGCCCGGCCAGTGCCCACTGGGGATGGCCTCTTCCCCCATGGATTCCCCATGAGACCTGACTGAGGAGAGGAGCAGTCAAGGATGGTCAGAGGCTCCTTCTTGATCGGGGCCTTGCTGTGATCTGGACCTCTGTGATGGGGAAGGAGTTCTGCAACACCCATGTGCCATGTGGCTGTCCATCTTGGGGCAGAGGCAGGGGCACCAGTTCCTTGGCTCTGTGCGAGGGAGGTTCTACAGAGAGTCTAAGCCCAGCACTGTCCAGTAGAAATATAATGTGAATCACATGTGTAAGTTCAAGTTTTCTAAGAGTCGCATTAAAAAGAGTTAAAAAAAAAAAAAGGTGGAGGGGCGCCTGGGTGGCTCAGTCGTTAAGCGTCTGCCTTCGGCTCAGGTCATGATCCCAGAGTCCTGGGATCAAGCCCTGCATCGGGCTCCCTGCTCGGCGGGAAGACTGCTTCTCCCTCTCCCACTCCCCCTGCTTGTGTTCCCTCTCTCGCTGTGTCTCTCTCTGTCAAATAAATAAATAAAATCTTAAAAAAAAAAGGTGGAAATTTTATTGTATTTTATGTAAACCAGTATATCTAAAATATTGTTTCAATATGTAATCAATGTAAAAATATTATTTTATTTATTTATTTGACAGAGACAGAGATAGCAAGAGCAGGAACACAAGCAGTGGAAGTGGGAGAGGGAGAAGCAGGCCTCCCCACCCCAAGGAGGGAGCCCGATGCGGGACTTGATCCCAGGATCCTGGGATCATGACCTGAGCCGAAGGCAGACACTTAACGACTGAGCCACCCAGGTGCCCAATGTAAAAGTATTATTAACGAGGGACTTTATGTTCTTTTTTCATATTCAGTCTTCAAAATCCTATGAGTATTTTACATGTAAAACAGTCTTAATTAGGACTAGCCACATTTCAAGTGCTCAATAACCATTCTGTGGCTAGTGGCTACCATATTGGACAGATCCAGCATCTAAGACCTGGCCTCTGGGAACAGAGCCATGCTGCCATCTGGTGGTGACACTATCAAATAGCAGCCCGAGCACCCCTCCCCGGGCCAGGTCCCGCAGGGCACCAAGGAAAAGTTACTGCTTCCCAACCTAGGGTGCCGTCAACCTAGTGTGACAGAAAAGGTGGCATAAAGAACCAAACTTCAGAGGCTACCCTGGGATTTTGAAAAACTGAGGATGATACTCAGCCAGAGAGGAGCGAAGGCTCTAGGAACAAGGAGTCATTTCACAGATGTGGAGATTAAGGGGAATGACCTGCTTGGGGTCATGTGATAAATACGCAGCTGCCCTGAGGGGAGGAAATCCTTGACCAGGACACCAGCACCTCTCACCTGGACCATGGAAATTGCTAAAAAAAAATTCTGTTCTTTTTTTTAAAGATTTTATTTATTTGAGGGGGGGTGGGATGGAGGAGGAGCAGAGGGAGAGGGACAAGCAGACTCCGCACTGAGTGCAGAGCTGATGGGGGTCTCAGTCCCACGACCCTGAGATCATGACCTGAGCTGAAACCAAGAGTTGGATGCTTAATGGACTGAGCTACCCAGGTGCCCCAATAGTTTCTTTTTAAAAAAATAAATAAGAATACATTCAATGATTCAAAATCCAAAATGTACAAAAGCAAAGCGTCTCCCTCCCATCCCCACCACTAACTACCCCATTCCCCTTTAGTGAGGCATCACAAACAATGCCATGATTACCCTGTGCACAAATTATACCACATGTGCAAGTATATCTGTAGAATGTTTCTTGAAATGGGATTACTGGGCCCAAGGATATGTGCATCTGATATGTGCATCTGTAATTTTGATAGCTAAGGAATAGCTTTTAAAAAACAGCTTTACTTAGACATAATTTACATACCATAAATTCATGATTTTTATTGTATAATTTGATGAGCTTTGAAAAAGGTGTATAGTTGTGTAACCACAACCATAACCAGAATATAGAACATTTCTGTCTCCCCGTAAAGTCACCTTACGGCCCTTTGCAGTAAATCCCCTCACCACCACCCCCAGCTTCTGACAACTGCTGATGGTTTTCTGCTCTATAATGTGGCCTTTTCCAGAATATCTATAAATGGAATGATACAGAATGTAACCTTTTTTGTCCGGTTTCTTTCACTTAGCATATGGATTGTGTGATTCATCCAGGTTCTTAGGCATCATGTATCAAAGTTGTACTCTTTTTTATTGCTAATTTGTATTCTATTCTATGGGCATATCACAGTTTCTCCACTCACCAGTGGATGCCCGTTTAGGTTGTTTCCAATTTGGGGCTATTATGAACATTCAAGTATAAAATCTTCAGTGCTCCTGGATAAATACATAGGAGTAGAATTCCTGGGTAATACAGTAAGTAAATATATAACTTTATGTAAGAAACTGGCATACTGTTTTCTTTAAGAGGTATTTTTTTTTTTTTTTGACAGAGAGAGAGAAAGCACAAGCAGGTTGAGCGGGAGAGGGAGAAGCAGACTCCCGCTGGGCAGGGAGCCCGATGTGGGACTCGATCCCAGGACCCCGGGATCATGGCCTGAGCTGAAGGCAGATGTTTCACCGACTGAGCCACCCAGGTGCCCCTGACATACTGTTTTCTAAAGTAACTGTACTATTTTGCTTTGCCACCAGCATTGAGAGCTCCAGTTACACAAATCCTTACCAACACTTGGTGCAGATGGTCTTTTTAATTTCGGCTATTCTAGTAGATGCGTAGTGTTATCTCACTGTGGCTTAGATTGACATTTGACATGCTACACACTGTCCATGTACTTCTTTGCTGTTTGTATACATTCTTAGGGGAAGCACATTTTCAAATCTTCTGTCCATTTTTTTAAAGATTTTATTTATTTATTTGTCAGAGAGCGAGAGAGAGGGCACTAGCAGGGGGAGCAGCAGGCAGAGGGAGAAGCAGACTCCCCACTGAGCAAGGAGCCCGATGCAGACTCGCTCCCAGGACCCCGAGGTCACGACCCAAGCCAAAGGCAGCCACTTAACGGACGGAGCCATCCAGGCGTCCCCTTCTGCCCATTTTTTAATGGAGCTGCTTGTCTTCTTGAGTTATATCTTTATATATTCTTAGATACATATCCTTTGTCAGATACAAGCTTTGCAAGCATTTTCTGTCTGTGGTCTATTCATAATCTTATCAGTGTCTTTTGATGAACAAGTGTTTTTCATTTTGATGAAGTGCTTCTCTGGTCTTCCTTTCTGCTGTCCTTGGGCTGCTCCTGCTCTTGGCTTCATCACTATGGGGCAAGAAAACCTTTGTTCTGGTTCTCACTGTCTAAGGTGGAATTCTGCATTGGTTCTGGGCTGTGGCTGTTGTCTGAGGCCACGTCTTCCATTAACTGCTTCTTGTCCTAGTCCTCTGTTTTCAGAGAGTTGTCACCTTTTTTGGTCAAGAGATAGTATTATCTTTGTTTTCAGGTTTTGTGTTATAATTTTAAAAACTGATAAAGTCATTGCCCAAAAACCATCAGGAACACACCTGTAGTCAAAGTCATATTTGTTACTCTGCAAAAGGGGAGCACAAAGACCATATGGAACTGTGTGGGGCATCTCAGAATGGGGTAGGGCGGGGGCTGCTACGGGATGTCTGGGGGCTGGAGTTGGGCATAGGATGGTATTGGTAGGGATTATTCAGAATTTATAAATTAGGGACTTAACTATAACAAATAGTGGTCTATTTTTAGAATGTACAAGTCTCTTTAGGTTACTCTTGGGCTGGTTCATCTGTGGTTCTATCTAGAACACATTTAGGTCTGTCAGAACAAACTGGTGTTACAAGAGTTGTACAGAGTTAGTGATGGACATCATAGTTTTGGTTTGGTAGTTTGTTTTGTGAGTCAGTGTATGTTTTGCAAGCTATGCTTTCTTCATTTTTATCTATTATGGCACTCCTGTGGAGTTTTGATTACTGAAGTGCAGGGCTCAGGAATATAAGATTAAGACAATTTACAAAATAAGTGGTAAAGACCCAGAGCTTGGCAGGGGCTACTGGGGCAAGTGGATGGCTATTTGGAAAAAAATACATTCACACCTCTACTACCTGTATTCATGATTCATACCATATACAATGGATTGTAAGTAGATAAAGCGTCTAAATGAATTAGAAGAAAATATGGGAGAATATTTTTATAATGTCAATGTGAGGAAGGTATGTCTAATAAAGACACAAAAGCTAGGACACACTTATACAACAAAAGTATAGAAATAATAATATATAAACATGTATATAATACATATGTTATTCGTTGTTGCTGGTGCTTTTGGAATCATACCCATGAAATTGTTGCTAAATCCAATGTCACGAAGACTTTCCCCAGCATTTTCTTCTAAAAGTTGTATCTTTTTAGTTGTTATGTTTAGATCTTTGATCTATTTTGAGTTAACATTTGTATATGGTATGAGGTAAGGATCCAATTTCATTCTTTTGTATGTGGATAGTTTTCCCAGCACGATTTGGAGAAAGTATTGTCCTTTCCCTATTGAATGGTCTTGGCACACCTGTCAAAAATCAATTGATTATATATGTGAAGGTCTATCTGGACTCTACTCTGTTCCATTTCAGTAATTTATATGTCTGTCCTTCTGCCAGTACCAAATGATTTAGTTACTGTAGCTTTGTAGCAAGTTTTGAAGTTGGGAAGTATGCAACCTTCAACTTTATTCTTATTCCTTTTAAGATTGTTTTGGTGGGGCGCCTGAGTGGCTCAGTCGTTAAGCGTCTGCCTTCAGCTCAGGTCATGATCCCAGGGTCCTGGGATCGAGCCCCACATCGGGCTCCCTGCTCAGCGGGAAGCCTGCTTCTCCCTCTCCCACTCCCCTGCTTGTGTTCCCTCTCTCGCTGTGTTTCTCTCTGTCAAATAAATAAAATCTTAAAAAAAAAAAAAAAGATTGTTTTGGTTATTTGGGGCACCTTGTAATTCCATGTGAATTTGAAGAACAACTTCTCATTCCTGCAAAAAAAAAAGGCAGTTGAAATTTTTGTAGTAATTGCATTGAATCTCTAGATTGTTTTGGGTAGTACTGCCATCTTAATGATGTTATGTCTTCCAGTCCATGAATGTGGGATATTTTTCCATGTATTTAGGTCTTCTTTAATTTCTCCCAGCAATGTTGTGTAGTTTTCAGAGTATAAGTCTTTTACCTTCTTGGTTAGATTTATTCTTAAATATTTAATGCTTTTAGATGTTACTGAAAATTGAATTGCTTTCTTAATTCTTTTTTGATTGTTCATTGCTGGTATATAAAAACACAACTGATTTTTGTGGTTTTATTTTGTATACTACAAATTTGCTGAATTTGTTTATTAGGTGTACTAGCTTTTTTGTGAATTATTTGGGATTTTGTGTAATAGGAACATGTCACTTTCTAAGAGAGATAGTTTTACTTCTTCTTTTCCAATTTGAATGTCTTTCATTTCTTTTTCTTGTCTAGTAGCTCCGACTAGAACTTCCAGCAGTGAAATGGGTGTTCCTATCTTGTTCCTGATTTCAGGATGAAAACTTTTAGCCTTTACCATTGAATTTAATATCAGCTATGGGCTTTTCATAAATAACCTTTACCATGTTGAAGAATTTTCTCTTTACTCCTAGTTTTCTGAGTTTTTATCATGAAAAGGTGTTGGATTTTGCCAAATGCCTTTTCTATGTCAATTAAGATGATCATCTTTTTTTTCCTCCATTCTATCAGTGTGATATAGTATACTGATTTTCTTTTTTTAAATTTAAATTCAATTAGCCAAGTTATAGTACATCATTAATTTTTGATATAATGTTCAATGATTCATTAGTTGAATATAACACCCAGTGCTCATCATATCACATGCCCTCTTTAATTCCCATCATCCAGTTACCCCATCCCTCCACCCACCTCCCTTTCCGTACCCTTAGTTTGTTTCCCAGAGTCAAGAGTCTCATATGGCTTGTCTCCCTCAATGATTTCTTCCCATTCAGTTCGCCCCCCTACCCCTATTGTTCTCTGCACTATTCCTTATGTTCCACATATGAGTGAAACCATATGATAATTGTGTTTCTCTGATTGATTTATTTCACTTAGCATAATACCCTCCAGTTCCATCCATGTCAATGTAAATGGTAGCTATTCATCCTTTCTGATAGCTGAATAATGTTCCATTGTATATGTGAACCACATCTTCTTTATTCATCCATTGAAGGACATCTCAACTCCTTCCACAGTTTGGCTATTGTGGATATTGCTGCTATGAACATTGGGGTGCAGGTGCCCCTTCTTTTCACTACTTGAAAAAATGCTCCACATTACTTGCCATCAGAGAACTACAAATCAAAACTACATGAGATACCACCTCACACCAGAATGGCTAAAATTAACAAGACAGGAAACAACAAATGTTGGCAAGGATGTGTAGAAAAGGCAACCCCCTTACACTGTTGGTAGGAATGCAAGCTGGTACAGCCATTCTGGAAAACAGTATGGAAATTCCTCAGGACATTAAAAATAGAGCTACCTTATGACCCAGCAGTTGCACTACTGGATATTTACCCCAAAGATATAGATGTACACTGAATTTCTTATGTGAACCATCCTTGCATTCCTGGGATAAAATTCCACTTGGTCATGGTGAATAATCTTTTAAAGATGCTATTGGAGGGGCGCCTGGGTGGCTCAGTTGGTTAAGCAACTGCCTTCAGCTCAGGTCATGATCCTGGAGTCCCAGGATCGAGTCCCACATCGGGCTCCCTGCTCAGCAGAGAGTCTGCTTCTCCCTCTGACCCTCCCCCCTCTCATGTGCTCTCTCTCTCTCTCATTCTCTCTCTCAAATAGATAAATAGAATCTTAAAAAAAAATTTTTTAAAGATGCTATTGGATTTAATCTGCTATTTTGTTGAGTATTTTTGCATCTGTATTCATGAAGAATATTGGCCTGTAGTTTTCTTTCTTCCTTCCTTCCTTTCTTTCTTTCTTTCTCTTTCTTTCTTCTTCCTTCCTTCCTTCTTTCTTTTCTTTCTTTCTTTCTTTCTTTCTTTCTTTCTTTCTTTCTTTCTTTCTTTCTTTCTCTTTCTTTCTTCTTTGTCTGGCTTTGGCACTAAAGTAATGCTGGCCTTGTGGAATGAAATAGGAAGTGTTCCCTCCTCTTCAGCTTTTGGGAAGAGTTTGAAAAGGATTGGTATTAATTCTTCTTTAAATGTTTCATAGAATTCACCAGTGCAGCCAGCTTCTCCAGAACTTTTCTGTGTTGGGAGATATGTGGTTACTGTTTCAATCTTCTTACTATTCTATGTCTGTTCAAATTTTCTTTCTTTCTGAGTCAGTTTATGTAATTTGTGTTTCAGGAGATTTGTCTATTCTAGGTTAATTTGGTGTACAGTTGTTCATAGTATCCACTTCTAATCCTCTCTGCAAGATTTTATCTGCAAGATTCATAATAATATGCCCACTTTTATTTCTGATTTTAGTTATTTGCATCTTCTCTCTCTTTTT